TGCCATCTGTTTATTGATAAGGGGCATGGTTTGAATGATAGTGATAGGTAATATGTTATGCTTGTGTTTTGTATTGAGTGAGTCTTATCTATTTGTAGGTGTTAGTGGGTTGTATGATTTTGGACCAATGGGTTGTGCTATGAAGTCTAACCTGATTCAGTTGTGGAGGAAATTTTTTATTCTGGAAGAACAGATGCTGGAGGTAGAAGCAGCCATGTTGACTCCCTCTAAAGTTTTAAAGTAAGTGAATTTCACGATTTTGAATACTCAGTAATAGTTATGCAACTTGACTTTATTTTGATATTTTAAAGTAAACTATCCTGCTATCCTGTATGTGTTAAGAATATCTTTTTATGTGCATAATTATGGGTTCACATTTAAGGTTCCTTTCTATCAGCTGATCCTTGACAAAACTTCCTGGATATGACATTGACTGAGATTGGAACCAATGACCACTAGTTCTTAGCATATGCCAACAAATGTTGTCATGAAATTAAAGGTTTTGACCCTCTGTTCTCTTTAGCTCTGTCTGTCTGTCCTCTTTAGATCTGTATGTCTGTCCTCTTTAGCTCTGTATGTCTGTCCTCTTTAGCTCTGTCTGTCTGTCCTCTTTAGCTCTGTCTGTCTGTCCTCTTTAGCTCTGCCTGTCTGTCCTCTTTAGCTCTGCCTGTCTGTCCTCTTTAGCTCTGCCTGTCTGTCCTCTTTAGCTCTGTATGTCTGTCCTCTTTAGCTCTGTCTGTCCTCTTTAGCTCTGCCTGTCTGTCCTCTTTAGATCTGTCTGTCTGTCCTCTTTAGCTCTGCCTGTCTGTCTGTCCTCTTTAGCTCTGTCTGTCTGTCCTCTTTAGCTCTGGGAAATTTGAAGATATATATCTTTGTATTTATCATCCATGTTATTTATTTATAGAGCATCAGGCCACGTAGATAGATTCCAAGATTATATGGTGGAAGATTTAAAAAATGGAGAGTGCTTCCGAGCTGATCATTTAATTGAAGGTAGTTATTTTCTCCTGTAATTATTTTTTTATAGACTGCTTGGAAAGGAAAGACATCATGATAAAGTTCCCGTCAGTCCCCCTGTATCAATGATGTAGGGCAGGTCAGAGGAGCTGGCTACGCTTCAACAATCTACTTTGACAGGGTCCAAAAAAGATTGTGGTGTTCATCAAGATCCCTCAGAAATCTCAAATTACAAAAGGGTTTGGTGAACTAGATATTGTTGTCCAGACAAAGGATCCCTCATTGTACACTGCATGGCATTAAAGAGCTCATTTGTATGTCTCTTACTTTTCCTCATTGAATACTACTTGATATTGCCTGTTTTTAATAAACTAATTTGGAGCATAAAAGACCTCATTCGTTTGCCTCTGTCTTGGCAAAGATTTCCTCATTGAATACCACATGGTGTTGGATGTTCAACAGCTAAATTGGGAACTTAAAAGAGTTATTACATGCTTTTCAAGTCCTATTCATGTTGCGTGTCTTCATGCCAAATTAAATGCAAACACCAAGGGTGAGTTGTTGAATATGTAACATAATGGTAATAAAATTTTGTTATATTCAGCTCATCTTGAGAAGTTAATAGCAGATAAGAAAACACCAGAAGATGTTAAAGAGGAAGCTAAGAAAATGATGCCAATGGTAGGTTGGACTTTTTACCCATGTAAAATATCCATGTTTCTTCCTTGATGAATTGTTCCTAAAAGCAATCAGAAATATCAGATGAAAAGAGTTGTTTATTGTTCAGTTGAAATCTATCTCAAAAGCTGTTTAAAGGAGGATTTAAAACGATTTAAAGGAGGTTTTCCAAATTTTTGTGTAGGGGGGAAACTGATAGCACCAATTCCAATTTTCAAGTAGATGTCTGTGGTTCCTGCAATTCCATTAAAACTAAGTGTTTGATGACGCCACTAATCGCGAAGGACCTTATGATACAAGCATATTTTGCAATTGGTCAAACACTTATTTTTATGAAGTTTTTAGAAACCCTCTTTACAATCACTGTAACACATTGAACTGTGCTCAAATGTTAATTTTGACCTAAGCTCTAAAGCTGAATTGTGTATAAGAGAATTTATTGTTTAATATTTGTAGATTGATGGTATGAGTCAGAATGATATGAAAGAAGCTATAATAAAATATGATATCAAATCACCAGTAAAAGGCAATGATATCTCTGAACCAAAGGAATTCAATTTAATGTTCTCAACCTCTATAGGACCAACTGGCCAACATAAAGGGTAGGTGATAAATTTTTGATTAGGCCGCATAGGATCTTATATGTATCTGTATTTACTAGAACCATTCCTTTGGTTTGTTTAATGTACTATGTGTTGTCGATTTCATTCTCAGGGCTACCACAGAGTATAGTCTCAACTCTATGAGGCACTCCACTCACCAGCTGTCAAAATAAAACCATCTTAAGTGTAAGAAATTTGTCAGACTCCTGAGATCAAAACATAAGAATTATCCAGGCCCCGTATTCTCGAAACGATCTCAGCAGTAGGATGTCCTAGAATCAATGTTAGATAATAAGAACCTAAGACATCCTAGTGCTAAGTTTGTTACGAGAATACGGGGCCAGATACTTAACTCATTTTTTGTTGAATTTAAAAATGTGCCAATTCTTATTTCAGATTTTTGCGTCCAGAAACTGCTCAGGGTATTTTTGTAAACTTTAAAAGACTTTTAGCTTTCAATGCTGGAAAACTACCATTTGCTGGAGCTCAGATAGGAAATGCTTTCCGTAATGAAATCTCACCACGGTCTGGATTGTTAAGAGTTCGGTAAGTTGATTATTTATTTGTTGTTTGTCTTGGTGTCTGAAATAATTGCCAAGCAATTTGTAAATTATTTGTCTTGTTATGTCAATAATCATCTGTTTTTGGTTAGAATCTTTGTTGGCATTAGCTAAGTCATCTTTAGTCATTATTCAATTGAATGTAGCTGTATATGATGCAGAGAAAGCTCAAGTTGGTTGGTTGTTACTTGTATGATACTTGCAAGTTTTATTGTAAAAATTACTTAAATAATACGGCTAGCTCAGGTTCTAATCTCTTTGCATTCAAAATTATTTGATCTCTAATAAATCGTCTTTCAGATTCCAGTCTATTCAAAGCTCATTGTTGATTGTTACACAATTTTGACAAGAATGCTATATTGATTTTCTTTTGCATTTTAGAGAGTTCACAATGGCTGAAATTGAACATTTTTGTGATCCAAATGATAAAAGTCATCCTAAATTTGCTGGGGTATCAGATTTAAAGTTATCCCTATATTCAGCCTGTAACCAAATGGATGGAAAACCCATGCAGTCTATGACAATAGCAGAGGCAGTTAGCTCGGTATGTTTCAATTATTGTTTGGGGGAGCTGAAAACAGTTTCGCATTATGTCACTATCAGAATCTATAGTCTCTATCAGATAAGCTAAAAACGGTCAATGCACACAATTATGAAGACAGGTGGTGCTTTTCATATTCAAGAAATGTATTTCGAGAAATGTTAGGCAAGATTTGTTGGGCAAGATTTGTATTTGGAATTTTGAACGAATGATGATTTTGGTGAACAAATGTTGATTTTGGTGAACAAATGTTGATTTTGGTGAACAAATGTTGAAAATGACCTACAAATAAAGGAGTAGGAATTAAGCATTAAGGACTAGGGATTAAGGATTAAGATGTCTTAATATTGGGCTGTTCGGCCGTATGTTGTATGACAATTGTTTGTGTTCCTATATCTATTTGTTGTATAATGAATTGCCCTTATTGGGATAATAAAGGTTTATTATTATTATTATTATATTAATTGTTTTTCAGAAATTGGTGGCCAATGAAACTCTAGGATATTTTATGGCCAGAATTTATCTATTTTTATTAAAAGTTGGTATCAATCCTAGTAAGTTTCGATTCCGTCAACATTTATCCAATGAAATGGCCCATTACGCTTGTGATTGCTGGGATGCCGAGCTAAAGACATCTTATGTAAGTATTTCTTTAAATCAGAATTCCAACAAATATTTATTATTATGGCATCCATTAAAATCGGATTGATTTGGTTTTTTAAAAAGTGTTTGTAAATATGTTATATGCTGGATCTTTGAGCTACTGTATGTTACTGTATTTTGATATCAGAATGAGTATAGTAATGTTGTATAGCAAGGCTTTAGGTGAGATTACTTCTTAAGACATATAGAATCTGACAAAGTTGTTACTTGGTATCAGAATTTATTACATGAGTGCAATTATGTTATATAGCAAGTCTTTAGGTGAGATTACTTCTTAAGATATATAAGATCAACACACATCGTTACTTATATCAATGTTTATTACATGAGTATGATAATATTATATAGCAAGTCTTTAGGTGAGGTATAATGTGTATATTTCAGGGTTGGATAGAATGTGTAGGATGTGCTGATAGATCGTGTTATGATTTAACTCAGCATACAGAAGCCACTGGTGTTAAACTGGTAGCTGATAGAAAACTACCTGAACCAATATCCTTTGTCATTATTATTTAATAATAGCTGGTAAATGAAGAGTTTCAAAACAGTTTCAAATAAAACTCTCGTTATTTAAGAAACCGCTTGCTGATATTGAGGCTTGCACTGACCTAATTTCCTCCAGTCAATTTTAAGATCTAGGTTCTGGGTTCAGCTTTACCAAGATTTAAGACTTTCAATTTAAGGACCTGAGCACAAGTTGTCCATATCAAGACTATTTTGTTTTTTGATTCTTTTGTTGATACTTAATTAAATGAGATATTAAATTATTCATGAAATGTTATGTTTACATCAAAGTAATA